TAAATTTTCTAATTTTGATATGGCCAATATTGATAATGTCAACAAGACCATTTAAATCTTCTATTTTGATATGGCCAATATTGATAATGTAATAGTTCCATTTAAATCTTCTATTTTGATATGGCCAATATTAATAATGAACAAGTTCCATTTAAATCTTCTATTTTGATATGGCCAATATTGATAATGTACAAGTTCCATTTAAATCTTCTATTTTGATATGCCCAATATTGATAATGTCAACAAGACCATTTAAATCTTCTATTTTGATATGGCCAATATTGATAATGAACAAGTCCATTTAAATCTTCTATTTTGATATGGCCAATATTGATAATGAACAATACCATTTAAATCTTCTATTTTGATATGCCCAATATTGATAATGAACAAGTCCATTTAAATCTTCTATTTTGATATGGCTAATATTGATAATGAACAAGACCATTTAAATCTTCTATTTTGATATGGCCAATATTGATAATGTACAAGTTCCATTTAAATCTTCTATTTTGATATGGCCAATATTGATAATGTCGATTTAAATTTTCTAATTTTGATATGGCCAATATTGATAATGTCAACAAGACCATTTAAATCTTCTATTTTGATATGGCCAATATTGAGAATGTAATAGTTCCATTTAAATCTTCTGTTTTGATATGGCCAATATTAATAATGAACAAGTTCCATTTAAATCTTCTATTTTGATATGGCCAATATTGATAATGTACAAGTTCCATTTAAATCTTCTATTTTGATATGCCCAATATTGATAATGTCAACAAGACCATTTAAATCTTCTATTTTGATATGGCCAATATTGATAATGTACAAGTTCCATTTAAATCTTCTATTTTGATATGGCCAAGATTGATAATGTCCATTTAAATCTTCTATTTTGATATGGCTAATATTGATAATGAACAAGTCCATTTAAATCTTCTATTTTGATATGACCAATATTGATAATGTCCATTTAAATTTTCTATTTTGATATGGCCAATATTGATAATGAACAAGTCCATTAAAAAATATTACAGCTTTAGGGTTAAAGCATATTGTGTAACCTTTGATATTGCTAAAAATGCAATTAAAATACTTTTCAAACACTTTTGCCTATTTTGGGGACTTTCCCTAAAAAAATTTTTATTTAAAATTTTGAAGTGACGTCATTTTCGGGTTTTATAAAAAGTGTTTAAAATCCCCGATAAAAAGTTAGCGTTAAAACCCTAAGTTGGGGCAATGAAAAATGACTTTTTTTTTTTACTTTAAAAGGTCCCTTTTTTTTGGGTATGTTTATAAAAAAAATAAAAATATTAAATTTTTTGAAAGTTTTATTACTGAATTTATTGAACTGGTTGAATGCTCGCCAGAGGCTCGCATAATATAATTTTTTATTTTATGCTTTCCAGTGTTTTATTGTAATATATCAGATGATTATATTCTGATAAACCACTAGTGAAATTTATAAAATATAATTTTCACTGTAGCCGAACTATATCTGAATGCGGATGAAAAGAAAATCATAACTAAATGGAATAACAGGCAGAAATAAATGCCGTACGTCATACGTTAATTTTGCTTCTTTAGGAAAAGAAAGTCGATGTCACCATACATCATGTTAAAAATGTAACAAAAGTAGAGAAATTGAACAGAACTATATTTCAAAATTGATGATGTGACGTCATGACGTCACAAAGGAGAATGCGCGACGTTACGCGCCAAAATCAGTAAAAAATACTTAAAATCACTTAAAAAGTATGAAATAAAAAGAAAATTTATTTGTTTTACATATGATATAAGATTGAAATATATTTCATTCGTGAACACCAGCTATTACATTTTCACTCGTGGCTACGCCACTTGTGAAAATATTGCATCTGGTGTTCACTCAGTGAAATTATATTTCAATCTTACATGCTAAACAAACAAATATCCTCTATATTCAACTTGTGCAATAAATTCAGTATTGAACTTACATTCACTAAATATCCTCTATTTATAATAAAGACATTTATAAAAGTCATATTAATTTTCACTAACTTTAAACTCCAAATTCCAGAATGCCTCTGAAAATTTCATTAGTTAACTTTTTATTCATTTTAATGTATTTTGATTATTCATAAAGCATTCCATGCCTTGGTATTAAATCTTGCATGGTCATTACCAGACTGTTCGATGATGGAATTGAATGGAAGTATATTGAAGAACTAAACTCTCTGGCATACATTTATGACCAGTAGAATGCAGCCTGTGCTTAACAATTGGTAATTATCTTTTGCAAACTTTTAAAGTTATTGCCCCTTGCTATTTTTCATACCTTATTAAGTTATTGTGCCTTGGCATAATTCAAAAGTTTAGCAGGTATTTACTGGAAACTTTATGAATACAGGCAAAGTACAATGTATTAGAACTGTAACTCTCTTTTGCATAATGTATTTATGTGCAAATTTTTTCATACATCGTGTTCATAATTTCAACTCATAAAGTATTGGTGATATCAATTTGAAATTTCACAGCTGTATTTATGAGAAGCATGCTGGTTTACAACCATAACTCTCTTATATTATGATTTCTGGAGTTATTGCCTTGTGTATTTTTTCTTGGATCAAAACTGAAGAAATATTAAAGATATAAACATGAAACTTATACATTGAAACATCTCATTAAGGAAAGTCACAGTAGAATCAGCAGCAGACGGCCGGTTAAGAGATAAAAAAATCAACTCAGAATACAGAGAATTCTGCTTGTATTATCAGAAGTACGAGGTTTTAACACTATATAAAATAGTGAAAACAAATAGAATAGTCCATGTATTTCCTATTAACTATATAAATACAGAATAGACAGGTTATCATCATACATTTTATAAATGTAAATAATATCCAAAATGAGATTCATGACAAGGGGGGTCTACAATTCATCTTAGATAAAAAGATTTGCATCGATATATCATGCAACTAAAAACAAAAGCCTTTATGGAACTGGCTAAATGTGAAAATCCTAGTAATAGAATGCAAGTACATGTACTTTTTATTATACTGATATGGTATTTATGATAAACTGGTAAATACAGGTGAAAACTTTTATTTTGTTACCTTAGTTTTTACACTTTATGAGACAAAATACATTTGTATCAACATTTATTTTACTCTCTCCAAATGAAACTTGGATCAAACAGCGAAGTATTTGAAGTTTAATGTTTAAAAATCAAAGTTTTCATATTACAGTGGTCACGATGTTGATGGTAGATTATTACAGGCATATTCATGGTGTTCCCTTTACTAAATGCAATTATTTTTTTTTCAAAATTAAACAGTTTGTTTATTGATTATAACAGATGAATTTAGAATCGTGTATCATTTATTTCAGGTGAATTGATAAGCATAGTGAGTAAGCCTAATTCTGTCACCTTTCATTGATTAAACAAGTCATATGGTCAAGAAAAAGACAAACCAACTTGTGCTTTACCACAATGTAACAATCATTTTTTTGTTAAAAACATTGAAGTCGCAAATCTTGTAAAATTTACAAAACTATTTAAAGTGGCCTACACCTTTTATTTTTTGTTGATAAAACAATTCTGTGATGTTTCAAACTAAGTATTACAGTAGGAAAAGTGCATTATATCACTGTTAAGCTTCATCAAAACAGCACTGCCGAGAGCTTTTTATAGCATGCAGTGATGTTTGTTTCTAAAATTAGAAAATTTGGAAAAAAAATTCCACTCTACTTATTTACATAAAGAGAGTGGACCAGTAGATAAGAGGTATGGTGGAGTTTTCTTATTGTTTCTGTATTTTATTGGCAACAAATTTCATTTATCACATAAACCGCGGCGCAGGAGTGTAATAAAGCCATTTATTACATGCTTTTCGGTGGTTTATAGAAATATATCAGTGACATAAAACTGGTAATTTCACTGTTTGAAACAGTGAAATTACCACTTTGATAATTTCACTGTTTTGAATTTAAGCCCCTTACGTTGTTTCAGTGAAATACCAGCGTGCACAGTACTGGGTTACAACTTAATGACGTGACGTCGTAAATGACGTCACGTTGTATTATTATTTGGCGCGCTTTTCGTTCAGTATTAGGTTTAATGTCTTCTTAAAACGTTTCTTTGCATGTAATAAAAAGAAAATTTGTTTAGTTTAGTGTAAGATCGAAATATATTTCACCTTGTGAACACCAAAAGTTCATATTTCACTCGTGGCTGCGCCACTCGTGAAATATACCTTTTGGTGCTCACTCGGTGAAATATATTCCAATCTTACACTGAACTAAACAAATATCCTCTATTTAATAAAAACGATATTACACTAGACGATATTACACTATAGTGTAATAACACTTTGACGTCACGTCATTTGCATTATAAACATAGCGTTAAAGCGCGCTAATGTTAGCGTTACTCTATAGGCGTGTAAAAGAAAAATGACTCTTGTTAACAGTTTACCGTTCTTATTTTATATATGTGATAAATAGAATATTAAATTCGTGTAGATTCAATACTAAATTTATTGAACTCGTTGAATAAAACAATATAATGCTCGCCAGAGGCTCGCATAATATGATTTTATTCAACGCGTTCAATAAATATAGTATTAAACCTACACTCATTCAATATCCTCTATTTACCCCTTAATTTTATTGAATCGACAATTATATGAACCAGTTTTATCTAAAAATAACATATTTAACCTTAGAAAAGCTGAAGGCCACATTAAGAATATTTATTTCAATCACAAAAAAAATTGACAACACACACATACACAAGTATACAATCTTTAAGCTTTAAATGTACATTGGAAATAGTAAGTATAATGTACAGATAATATAAAACTGTGTAGAATTCTTAGCGTAAACACTAAGACTGACCATGTTGAAGGATAACAGGAAATAAAAATAAATTACAATCAATCGTTTCTCTTAAACAAACTGGTTACCAGTTAGAAAATATGTAAAAGATATATATAACAATGTATCTAGTAATACTAAAACATGCTGCATAAGATCAGCATCAGTGCTGAAAGGAACAAGTACAATGTCCGGTTAAATTCTGGGACAGCAGCACCTGAAAATATATTAAGAATGAAAGGTATTTATATATCACTCAAAGGGTTTCATGCATTCATGATTGATACATACCTTTTATAAATATATGGAAAAAAGAGGAAAATGAAGAAAGACAACACATCAATACTGGTACGGGTTGAGGTTATAAATTCTTTACTGGTTCAAATCCTACTAAACCTTCATCAGGATAAATATGTATATATATTTTTTACTTTTTAAAGAACTAGCAGACCTATACATGATATAAAGTTTAAGATAATTCCAGCAGTCTACCAAAAAATGAGTATTGCCAATGAGTTTACACTTTATTTAACAGAGGTCTATAAAAGGCCTCTTCCAAATCGAAATATTCTTTATAATCATGCCGTTTTCCAAAAAAATCTTAAATTACATCAGCTTTTTTACTTCCCAAAATTGCAATTTAAGGGATATTTTTTTCCAAACTGATAATTAAGTGAGTTTAGTTAGAAAAACCACTGACTGCCACTTGAGCAGGTACAATTACTGAAGGAGGAACTGTTGCATCTTAAGATTTAGTGGTAGACTAGATTTTCTGGTTTTCCAAGACCTTTTGTCAAAACAAACAGCTGCCGTCAATACTTTAAATGTTGTTTAAGCCATATAAATGCTTTATATTATAAACCTTCTTCCAAATATGTTATTGTAAAGTGCATTACACACTACTCAGGACATCTTGACCATTATATGAACATCACAAACTATTAACTAACTATTCAATGATTGTAAGATAACTGATCAGTCCCTATACATGTGTATTAGTAGATCCTTACAGTAATGTCCTTTTTCTTACAAAGCCTTTTCATGTTCAAGCCAAAAAAAGTCTACAAAATGTTTTATACAGTAATACTAAATTAATTTTATAAATTCCTCTTTACAATTTTATGAACTTGTTGTAACAGGTTGCATCATGGAGTCATTTGGAATTCAATAAGACAAGTGTTTTTATGTCAAATATCTAAGCTCTAGCCCTTGTGTTTTTTTAAGAAACAGATTTTTTTTTTTTTTTTCTGGCAACCAGAGTTCTGCAGGGAATAAATTTGTTCTATCTTTGAAATAACAACTCTGAAAGAGGATCACCAAAACATCATTTCTAGAAAGTTTTGATATTATTGACCATTTTGGTCAAAGAAGTATGGATGGACGAACCCCAGAGAGAGAGTGAACACAATAGGTGTGTTGTGGTGAGCTAAAAATCAAGAAACATTGGAGAACCCAGGCCTTTTTTCCTCTAGGTCCGAATATGGGCCCCATTCCTCATCCAAATTATGGATTTTTTTCCCAATCCAAAAAAATATTCCCAATCTAGAAGCAATTTGAAAGAAAAAGTACCGCATTTTCAATTTTGGTGTTGCAAAATAGCGTTACGGAATATATTCATGTTTTGTGAATAAAAACAGGATTTTTAATTGATATCAGTTTTACATTTGTACACATTTTAGCCTGTCCTTACATTTTTGATATGACAGAAAAAGCTGAACAGTTAAAGTAAGATTTATTAAGATTTATTTAAACAATTGTAACACATTGAATGCTAGCATATTTTCCCAAATTGGCAAATTTCACAATAAACTTTTTTCCAAAATATGGAAAATTTTACGAAACAAATTTCTCAATTTTGCCATGTGGCATTTTCCCAAAATAGAGGAAAAAGGTCCTGAAACCTGAGATACAGACAGCGTGTTTATACTCACAACAAACGTGGATTTCCAATTTTTGAGCAAATTATGCTTAGATTCAAACTCATAATTTCAAAGGACCATACTTTGCCAAAACTAGAACTCCGCGAGTCGGATGTGTCGCCTTGTGGACAGTATAGTTGTAATGTAAGCATTTTCTTCTTAAATGTAGGTTATTTATAAACACTGCTAAAGGGCAATAACTAAAAAATAAGAAGTGCAGAGTACCAGTTCTTGTGCACTGCACTTCTTAATGAGATCTATCATCCTATGAAGATAATCAAGTCCATAGCTTTTATAGTAAGAGAAATGACCCTGACAAAATTAGGGTATGAAAATTAACAAAGGGCAATAACTCAAAACCATGGAGTACTGTTTTTTGTGCACTGCACTTCATCTCAATGAGACCTATCATCCTATGAAGTTTCATATACAAAGCTCTTATAGTTTAGGAGAAATGGCCCGGACAAAAATAAAAACAAGACGGCCATGATGGCCCTGAGGTCGCTCACCTGTATAGAGGCCCCCGGAGCGGGCCAGTTTAAACCCCAGGGCTTTTATTTGAACAAACATGGAAGACACCCATTAGAAGATGTTTCACAATGTGAAGTTTTTACTAAACACATATAATGAAAAACAATGATCTACTCCCCCCCCCGTCAGGGCCAATTTTAATCCAGGGGCTTTTATTTTAACAAACTTGGTATTGGTAAACACCAATAAGAAGATGTTTCATGCTAAACATCTGAGCTCTAGCTCATTGGGTTTTTTAAAAGAAAGATTTTTTAAGTTTTTACTATACACATATAGTTAAAAACAATGACACCCCTGGGGCGGGGCCAGTTTTGACCCCAGGGCTTTTATTTGAACAAACTTTGTAGACACTCACTAGAAGATGTTTCCTGCTTATTATCAAAACTCTAGCTATTTGGGTTTTTTCAAAGAAGATTTTTAAGTTTTTGCTATAATACACATATAAGGAAAATCAATGACACCCGGGGCGGGGCCAGTTTTGACCCCAGGGCTTTTATTTGAACAAACTTTGTAGACACTCACTAGAAGATGTTTCATGCTTAATATCTAAACTCCAGCTATTTGGGTTTTTTCAAAAAAAGATTTTTAAAGTTTTTGCTATACACATATAAGGATAATCAATGACCCCCGGGGCGGGGCCAATTTTCACCCCAGGGCTTTTATTTGAACAAACTTGGTAGACACCCATTAGAACATGTTTCATGCTAAATATCTTAGCTCTAGCTCTTTGAGTTCTTTAAAAGAAGATTTTTTCAGTTTTTACTATATGCATATAGGGAAAATCAAAGACCCCCTGGGGCGGGGCCAATTTTGACCCCAGGGCTTTTATTTGAACAAACTTGGTAGACACGCACTAGAAGATGTTTCATGCTTAATATCTAAACTCTAGCTATTTGGGTTTTTTCAAAGAAGATTTTTAAGTTTTTACTATTGGTTGCCATGGCAACCAGAGGTTTTAATGGAATTTAAATTTTTGAACAACTTTGAAAGGGGTCCACCTAAGGATCATTTCTGTAAAGTTTGGTTGCAATTGGCCATGTGGTTTAGGAGGAGATGTTGTTTTAAAAGTTTGACGCCATTTTTTGAAGGACGCACGACGGACGCAGAGTGATGACAAAAGCTCACCCTTGAGCACTTTGTGCTCAGGTGAGCTAATCAGAAAATTAACAAAGGACAATAACTCAAAAAAATAAGAAAAACAGAGTGCCAGTTCTTGTGCACTGCACTTCTTCTTAATGAGATCTATCAACCTATGAAGTTTTAAGCCCATAACTTTTATAAATCATTAGAAATGGCCTGGACAAAAATAAAGTATGAAAATCAACAAACAGCAATAATTAAAAAATAAGAACTGCAGAGTACCGGTTCTTGTGCAGTGCACTTCTTCTTAACCTATGAAGTTTCAAGTCCATAGCTTTTATAGTGGAAGAGAAATGACCCGGACAAAATTTAAGTATGAAAATTTACAAATGGCAATAAATCAAAAATTAAGAAGTACCGGTCCTTGTGCACTGCACTTAGGGTTATTGAAAGAAGCATGCATACCAAGTTTGAAGTCAATCCGACTTATAGTGACTGAGTTATGCTCCGGACAAAATTTAGGGGACGCCGCCGACACCGCCAACAAAAGTAAGCCCTATATCACAGTCGCCTTTTCACTCTCACATTATCTAGTCTTGGAAAATAAATTAATGAGATCATGAAACAGCATAAAAACAAACCTCCAACAAAGCAACCATCATTGTAGGCAGTACGGCCCTTTACACACTCACAAACTCCATCAGTTGTATCACATGTTGAATGACTAACTGTACAATGTCCATCTTCTTTGCATACTGTTCCGAGGGTTCCTGAAAATAGTTAACAAGAGCACCGCTAGGCGGAGCATTATATGCCCGAAAGTGTATTTTTTAATAAGGATGAAGCATTTGTAAGAAATGGGAATAAGCTGTTCATCCTATAAAATTTTACAGCTGTAGGTTGATTAATACTTAAGTTATAAATAATGACCTTAACCTTTGACCTTGTGACCCGAAAATCAATAGGGGTCTTCTACCCAATATGGACAATTATCCTATGAAGTTTGAACATTGTGGGCCAAAAGGAACTTAAGTTATGCTTTGGAAACCAAATTGCTAACGGACGGACGGATGACCTTTTGACCCCAAAATCAATAGGTTTTTTTTATGAAGTTTGAACATTGTGGGCAAAATGGAACGTAAGTTATGCTCCGGAAACCAAATTGCTAATGGACGGACCTGTTTTCAGTTTTAAGGTAAAAGTGACCTTGACCTTTGACCTTTTGACCCCAAAATCAATATGGGTCAACTACCCAATATGGACAATCATTCTATGAAGTTTGAACATTCTGGGCCAAATGGAACTTAAGTTATGCTCCGGAAACCAAATTGCTAACGGACGGACGGACAGACAGACGGACGCCAGGGGGTATATAAAAATGATAAAATTTAATATATGAATACATATATACAATCATAACAGTGACTAAATTACACAAATGATTATAAAAGATTTCAACTATGTTTGAATGAAAACCATGACTAATGATTATTCTAGCAATATTTTACTGTTGATTTTCACTTGTATTATTGGACAAGAGGCTTCATTTTTAGCTCAACTATTCGATAAGAATAAGTAGAGCTATTGTAGTCACCCAAACCACATATGTTAAAGTTTTTGTAATACCTCAAATATTTTCAAAGTCCATTGACAGCGATTTTTTTCTCTGAAAAGTGAATGGGTCTGGTACCATAAAAATTGTGAAAAAAAAGCATCGTTTCTTGTGAATTTTTTACTTAAGATTGTGAATATCTTTTTAAGAACATATAATTTTTTTAATGTAGTATTTACTGTTATGAGACATTTTAAATGATGTTTACAGAAATTACCAGACGCTTGTTTCTGTATTGATTCGTCTTAAACAGTACGAAATTTAAAGGGTGATTGCACCGAAAAGCATGGTCGGCTAAACGCATTTTAAGATAAACAAAGCACAACAGGCAAAATTTTAGCATCATTATGCGAAGATAGGAAATAATACGTTATTAAAGGCTTAATTAATCGGAATTGTGAAATTTCATCAGAATTGTGAACGGGTCCGTCGGACCAAGTCTGAAAAGTGTGAAGGTCAGTTTGTGATTGTGAATAGGTCCTTTATTCGGTACCACTTATATAGGGAAAAAATCCCTGATTGACATATGGCTTTGAAACTTTGCACACTTGTTAACCATCATGGCCCCAACCTGTAGACAGGAGGAGGTAACTGTACCAAGCATTTTGACAGAATTATGCCCCCTTTTCGACTTAGACTTTACATTAAAGTTTTTGTAATACCTCAAATATTTTTAAAGTCCATTGATATATGGCTTTGAAACTTTGCACACTTGTTCACCTTCATCACTTCAACCTGTAGACAGGAGGAGGTAACTGTATCAAGCATTAAGACAGAATTATGCCCCCTTTTGACTTAGAATTTACGTTAAATTTTTGTTATCCCTCAAATATTTTCAAAGTCCATTGATATATGGCTTTGAAACTTTGCACACTTGTTCACCATCATCACTTCAACCTGTAGACAGGAGGAGGTAACTGTATCAAGCATTAAGACAGAATTATGCCCCCTTTTGACTTAGAATTTACGTTAAAGTTTTTGTTATCCCTCAAATATTTTTAAAGTCCATTGACATATGGCTTTGAAACTTTGCACACTTGTTCACCATCATGATCCCAACCTGTAGACAGGAGATGATAACTGTATCAAGCATTTTAACAGAATTATGTCCCTATTTGACTTAAATTTTACGTTAAAGTTTTGTAACACCTCAAATATTTTCAAAGTCCATTGACATGTTGCTTTGAAACTTTGCACACAGTCACTTGTTCACCATCATGACCCCATCCTGTAGACAGCTTCCTATCAAGCATTTGGCAAAATAATGCCCCTTTTTCATTTTAGCACTTACATTTAAGTTTGCATACCACCTCAGATATTTTCATATTCTTTTGACATCTGGCTTTGAAACAAGTTGAAATTTTATACTCTTTTTTGAGAGCATTATAGGACTCTCTCCAGGGCCTATAACTGTAACATGGATTTAAAGAAAAATTTTGCCCTTTTGTTAACTTAGAAAATTTCACATTATTAAGGCTCTTTTACTATGAAGCACTTAGAATAGTCGAGCGTTGTTGTCCTACCGACAGCTCTTGTTCTACTTGTCCTGCCAAAAATTCAGCCAAATACAAACATTGACAACTAGAAGTTTTAATCTGATATATGAGATCCCTTAATTTTCAAATGGACTGTTCTAAATTTAAAGCTGAACAAATCAATTACACACATACAAGTACAAATGTTGCTGCAATGCAGCAATTGAGAAGCTCCGCGCAAAAAATGTGCTCATTACAGATACCTTACCAAATTATTCCTACGCACAGGTCATGTTATATTCAGATTAAGTACTATTGTAGATTTTTCCGAATGTTTTGTAAACCATTTTTTGCATAATTATACTTATCTTATGCACTGTCCATAATTAAAGAGGGGCCAGATATTTAATTTGAAAAAATGCTTTCACTGATGCCTATCTGGTAAGGAAAGTAATTCCATTGAATACAAACAAGACTTACAAGACTTGTAACTGTTATGTGACATGACTGTACTGTGTTCTGTTTGTGTCACTAATGTAGTCAGTAATATAAGATGATAAAAATATAAAAGTCTGTTTTTATTATTATAATTGTAACAAATATACAAATACATGTAGTTACAAAAGGGACTTAAATTATAATATAGTAATATTACATGCATTTTTTATGTCAAATTAAAAAAATGGTTTCTTTCAATACTGATAGAAGACTGTTACCTGAATTTTAGGCAGGTATGAGGAAATTCACTATGCGAGTCAAAGATATATTATAAAAGCTACTTGACATTGGTGATATATAAAAAAGCTTTTGTTAATTGATTTATTGGGTATAAAACCATTCATAAAAAAACAATACACCTCAATTGTTGAAACTGCATATCACAGTTTCTGATCTATCTATCTATAGTCTATGCTTAATGAGGGTCCTTCAGCCCGTATGGGCACAAAATGCAGCTTTCGCTGTCGAGTACGGACCCCGGACATGTCACCAGTCATGCCCTTAAAGAGTTAATTTTGAAGCACAACATGTTGATAATTTACCTCTGTGCAAGGCTGCATTACTAATGTTACTACAGAAATGTAACCTTATATACTAAAGTTATATAATTATTTCAAAACAATCAATATATAAACATATTATTATTAAACATTTAGTTTCATAAATATAAATTAAGAATAATTATCAAAAGCAAAATTATTAAAGTCTTATGTTTATATTGACAAATTCAATCACTAATAGTATACTTGATATGCTGAGTGTAAATGTAATTCAAAATGTAACAAATTATAATTTCATGTACTACTAAAAAAGGGAAATAACAAATTTATTACTAAGTGTCAAAAATCAGAACATTAATAGCTATTTATAGCTTTCGAATTCATGTACAGCAGAACTGCTTTCCGGTTCTTATTAATTAATATGACACGCTGCGAATCACCGAAGGGGTAACCAATATAATAATCAAAAGGAGTTTTTAAATCCGAATTTATTTTTAGCTGTAAATCGAAGGGATTAATTGTTAAAATCTGGGCCCATAGACAAAAAAATAGTTAACACAAAGAGCAGGCGCGGAGCAATAACAGGTTTGGGTTATCTCTATTACAACATAACAGTGATGTCATCATAATCCTTAGGCCACCAGTAGTCGTACAAATATATTTTGACTAATAGGCTCTAAATTTAACAGTATTCGATAACATTTATACTTTTTGATATTGTCAACTGTTTATCATTGAACAAGATTAAAAAATTTCCAAATTCAAAGCAAGTTAAGTTGATGGAATTGTATACATGTCAGCTTTAAAGCCTGAAAAAAATTTGCAGCAACACTCTCAGTTAACAGTTAACATTAAAGCTTGAGTAAAATGAGACCAACCTTCAGTTAAACATGCAGTGCCAACCCCCTCGTATCCTGCTGTACAAACACAAATTTTGCTATTGCACTCTGTGTGAGCCACTTTACAATTATCATTTGTTTCACAGGCTCCTCCAAGTTTTCCTGGAAATCATTGGGGAAAAAAAGGTTTCTTTAATAAACAGTTTTTATTCTAGTAAAACAAGAAATGTCAATTATGTTAAGGTTGTGACCTTAACTGTTGTGACTAGTCTAATTGACTCTGACTACATGTTTTTCATACAGGTATTATAGTACCTAAAAATTATGGTTTGTAGCTTCAACTTTCTTGACGCTATGCTGCTTAAAACATTAATTTATTTGAACTTAATTTGTAGAAATATTGCAATGTTGGCCCAATCTTTAATGATTGGAAAATGCACCTCAGACATTCTTGGTCACTTTCTCTGTTGTCTTTTTGTGTGACATGTTTATACAGCAATACATGTGCACTCTGTATTGAGATCAAAATATACTGTTGGTCAGGAACTAAAGATATGACTATACATTTGTATATTAGTTTTAATTAAATAATCTTTTAATTCAAGTTCATGCTGTTTATTAAGTTAAACATATATGGTAAGCAATATGATAAAGTATAACATTCAGGAGTGTGAACAAGTCTAAATTTAAAATCCTGAAAAAGCCGGGGGTTTGGGGGCTGCAGGTCCCTATTGGGGTCAAGGGGGAAAGCCCCTGTGGGGGGTCTGGGGGGTTGGGGGGGCGAAGCGCCCCAGGAAAAATTGAATTTCAGCATTTGAAAATGCACTAGAAACAATTTTCCCAGACACTTCACCAATATTTTTTAAATGTATTTGTCATAATTTTTTGCCATTTTCACTCTGACCAAGTCACATCATTTTTTTTCTCTGACAGTATAGTTTAAAACCTTTTATCGTATGTGTTGCATTTAATCAAGTGTTATAAAAGTTGAGTGTAAACAATAAAAGATAAAACAACTTTTAAAACAAGCACATAACTTTAACAATTTGAGAATTTCGATCTTTGGTTGTAATCAGTAGACGCTTGCAAGCGATGCGCCTGGTGATTTTGTCCCGTACCGGTCGCACTTACAATACCGTTTTTCGTCGATTTCTTTTTCATGATACTCACGTTAACTACAGTATTGTATCCGTCAAGCACAGACGAATTTTTAAAACAACTGAACCCTTACACCCAACCCCCTCCCCATTGATTTTTTTCATTGAATTTGCACTTATTTCAGAAATAACTTTTTGGCAGGAATATCCGGAATTCCGGATTAATCCGGACTTTTGACACCCCTGAACATTAGAGGTTTAACCTGAGGCAATGACCTGTCTACAATATTCTTTATTTGATTCACATCGTAAATCTTATCATGTTGTAGCCTCTAGCATAGATTGATAACTAAAAACAAGAGGGCCATGATGGCCCTGAGGTCGCTCACCTGTATAGAGGCCCCCGGAGCGGGGCCAGTTTAAACCCCAGGGTTTTTATTTGAACAAACTTGGAAGACACCCATTAGAAGAAGTTTCATGATGTTTAGTTTTTACAACACACATATATATGATAAACAATGACCTGCTCCCCCCCCCCCCCGGCAGGGCAAATTTTAACCCAAGGGCTTTTATTTGAACAAACTTGGTAGACACCCATTGCTAAAAATCTAAGCTCTAGCTCATTGGGTTTTTTAAAAGAAGATTTTTTATGTTTTTACTATATAAATATAGTTAAAAACAAAGACACCCCAGAGGCGGGGCCAGATTTGACCCCAGGGCTTATATTTGAACAAACTTTGTAGACACTTACTAGAAGATCTTTCATGCTTTATATCTAAAACTCTAGCTATTTGGGTTTTTTCAAAGAAGATTATGAAGTTTTTGGTTGAACATATAAGGAAAATAAATGACAACCGGGGCGGGGCAATTTTTGACCCCAGGGCTTTTATTTGAACAAACTTTGTAGACACTCACTAGTAGATGTTTCATTCTTAATATCAAAACTCTAGCTAATTGGGTTTTTTCATAGAAGATTTTTGAAGTTTTTGCTATACACATATAAGGAAAATCAATGACCCCCGGGGCGGGGCCAATTTTGACCCCAGTGCATTTTTTTAACAAACTTGGTAGACACCCATAAGAACATGTTTCATGCTAAATATCTTAGCTCTAGCTCTTTGAGTTCTTTACAGACTTTTTAAGTTTTTACTATATGCATATAGGGAAAATCAATGACCCCCTGGGGCGAGGCCAATTTTGACCCCAGGGCTTTTATTTGAACAAACTTGGTAGACAGTCATTAGAATATGTTTCATGCTATATATCTTAGCTCTAGCTCTATGGGTTCTTTAAAAGAAGATATTTTAAGTTTTTACTATATGCATATAGGAAAAATCAAAGACCCCCTGGGGCGGGGCCAATTTTGACCAGCTGTACCATTAACGTCTGCAAACAATGAAACATTAGATCCACCACCTGGTGGGGGGAGGGGGGAGGCACACTCAACTTTTTCTTTTTTTGAAAGTCAAACTCACCAGTAAAAGAATAATTTGAATATTATAGTAAAAGGGTAGAGATGCATACCAGTATTTGATATAAACAGAATACTTAAGTACTACATGTACATGTGTAACTGAATCATAGTCAACATCATCAATTCCATGCCATCACTTATATTTCACAGTAATTCATATTTCCATGCAACAGGTGTTAAGGTGTTAATATTGGTAAAAATTTAGTCATACTCCTAGGAACACCTTGAAAATTCATTGACTCTATGAGTGTTTGAAACAATCATCATTTTTTTTAAATATTGCCTCTAGTCTCAAGTGTTAACAAGGTTTTTTTTTTTCGAAATCTGAGCTCTGTGACCAATCAGTATTTGACCCGAGATGACCCATACTTGACTTTTAGCTTAAAATCATCTAGACAACCGTTCTGACCTATTTCCAGGACATTTGGATCAAAACAGTTGCCTCTAGAGTATTTACAAGGGTTTTCCATTTATAGGCTGTGATCTAGTTTTTGACCCCAGCTAACCTATGTTTGAACTTGAGCTAGAAATCATCAAAACACTTTATCTGACCAATTTCCAGGATACACAGGTAAAAATGCATCACATGTTTCTTTGCCACACCATATGTTTTGGAAAACATGTGTTTAAAAATATAATTGTTTTTCATATGTAAAATAACATATTTTTAACCAGGACCTATTGAAAAACATATGTAAACAAACATTTGTTGAACTCGAGGTTATCACATGTTTTTCATATGATGAATTTATGGATTATAAATTTTGTATGCTTTGCTCTTTGAGTGAGTCTCAATTAGATTCTTACATGATTGTTCACAAATTATCAAAAGATTCTTGGTTCATGCATCTATTGCAATATTCAAGGACAGCCCTAATATAACTAGAACTATCACTAAATGTGATTAATACCCTCGCAAGACTGCTTCTGAAACTAAAACTGTCACTGTCATGGTGTAAAATACCCCGGCATACCACTTTGTCAGAATCAACAGTGGCCATTTAGAGCTCAAGGACAACCTGCCTGCCAAATCTAAGGTTACTTGAAGCCAGTGCATTGCTAAGTTATGTATTCTACATGCTTCAAATGTGAAAATGTCAAAATCAATACACTGCGGACAGGCATTCTTAAGCATTTGAGCAGACAAACTTATCATAGTAAAAATCCCTGTGACCTTGACCTTTGACACAGTCAAGTCAAAATCAATAGGGGCCATCTACTAGTCATCAACAACCTCAATACCAAATATGAAGTGAAGACTGTGGGTCCAAAGTTTCTTAAGTTATTGGGCGGAAAAATTTTTGAAGTCAAAGTCCCTGTGATCTTGACCTTTGACCCAGTGACCTCAAAATCAATAGGGGTCATGTACTAGTCATGACTAACCTCCGCCAAATATGAAGACTGTGGGTCAAAGGAATCTTAAGATATTGGGCAGACAATCTTTTTTAGTCAAGGCCCTGTGACCTTGACCTTTGACCCAGCAACCTCAAAATCAAAAGGTGTCATTTACTACTAAGTCATGACTAACCTCCATGCCAAATATGAAGACTGTGGGTCAAAGAAATCTTAGGTTATTGGGCGGACAAGCTTTTTTTAGTCAAGGCCCCTGTGACCTTGACCTTTGACCCAGCAATCTCAAAATCAATAGGGGTCATTTACTAGTCATGACAAACCTGCATGCCAAATATGAAGACTGGGGTCAAAGGAATCTTAAGTTATTGGGCGGACAAGGAAAAACTGACGGACGGCCGGACAAGCTGATTCCAGTATACCCCCCTTATAACTTAGTTGTGTGGAGGTATAATGAAGATGTTACTAGTAACAGAATACCTTGTAAAAGAATTGAAACAGAGTTGTGGTTGTGGGCAATTAAAGATAGTTGTGGTTCTTGTATGTTGCATTTCCTTTTAATGATAAAGTTTTATTAAATTACTCTGTTATAAGTCCAGAAATACAAGGAAAAGGAACAAAGGACATAACTCTATATATACTGAAGATGGAGTTATGGTTATTAAACACTGCACTTCCTCTCATTGCGCTTGACCATTGTATGAAGTTGTATTGAATTCCTTCTACTTGTTTTCAAGTTATGCACTGGACAAAAAAAAGTTACAAAGGGCAATAACTGTATTTAGTCCAAATAGAGTTATGGTTATTGTGTACTGCACTTCATCTCACTGCCCTTGACCATTATATAAAGTTTTATTGAATTCCAACCATTAATTTTCAAGTTATGCACTGCACAATAAAAAGTAACAAAGGGCAAAAACTTTTAAATGAGCCAAGAAAGAGTTATGGTTTCTGTGCACTGTGCTTCCTCTCAATATACTTGACCATTGCATGAAATAGTATTGAATTCCAACTAGTAGTTCTCAAGTTATGCTCTGGATAAGATAAAAGCAATGGAAAAGTAACAAAGGGCAATAACTCTATAATTACTCTGGACAGAGTTATAGATCTGCACTGCACTATCTCTTATTGTGCTTGACCAATGTATGAAGTTGTATTGAATTTGAACCAGTACATTTTAAGTTATGCTCCGGACAAGGAAATGTATCAAAGGGCAATAACTCTGTAATTTGTCAAACCGGAGTTATGGTTCTTGTGCACTGCACTTCCTCTCGATGTGCCTGACAACTGTATGAGTTTGTATTGAATTCCAACCTGCAGTTTTCAAGTTATGCACCGGACAAGGAAAAGTAACAAAGGGCAATAACTCTGTAATTAGTCAAGATGGAGTTATGGTTCTTGTACACTACACTTTCTTTCAATGTGCTTGACCATTGTATGAAGTTTTATTGAATTCTAACCATTAGTCTCCAAGTTATGCTCCGGACAAGGAAAATGCAACGGACGTCTGGACCGACCAGACAACCGTCCACCGGGTGACTCCTATAAAAAGCAATATGAGGATAATAACCAACAATTTAAGTACCACTTAATAAATCATTTTGATTCCTTCAAACAAACAACAACAACAATAAAGAGCAACAGTCTCCTGTAGCCTACTGATAACCACAAACAACAAAATTAGCAACATACCATCGTCTACACAGGCACCCTTATATGCCGTGTGTTGACCTGTACATACACACACATTAGATGTACATGATTGATCAGATCCAGAACATGTGACTTGAGAGGAACATGCAGCACCTAGCAATCCTGAAATATTGTTGAAAGGTATGTATGAAAATCAGTGGCATGTTACATAAAGTGTCACAATATTTAAGAGATAGATTAATGCCATTTTTACCGGACTAAATGAAAACAAAATCATTGTACCCCTCCAGATAAGCAAAATGACTGAAGAAAATATATTTTCAGTTTAAGAAATATATAAATATTAAGTACATGTAATCATAATGTACATGTAGCAGAGGAGAATTTTTAATGAATTTAGTACTACAAGAAAAACTATTTCTTTTATACATAAATTTAGTACTTTAGAACGTATCAATAAAACGGTCTGCATTTGATAGTGAGGTTTTGAGTTATCTATAAGATTTTCCAATCATTTGTAACTAATCAAGAGACAGGAAGTCACAAGAAAAATGATATTTATCTTTAAATCTAACTTATACCTTGCATGTTACACTAAAGAGCTAAAATTTGTGAGCAGCAAAATCATGTACAGTATGTCTTTTTTCCCTTTGTTTCTTTTGTTTCTTTTCATATCTTTACCAAAATTTACAGATAATAAGTGGACATTTTTTTATCTTTAACTAACTTAATTATTATTTGACAAAACAAAAACAATATGACAATGACCTGGGGTGACAACACAGCTGCCACTATTTGGTGTATATCCATTTTTACATGCACAAACCCTACTGGAACACTTTAGATTAGAGTTTGCAGCACATGCAACTGACACTGAACATAATCCTCCAAGTGTTCCTGAAAATTGCAAAATTAAACAAACATAAAAGTTTGTTATTCAACATTTATAAACACCTTATAAAACAATGAAAGGCTGATCTGAGTCTGAATTGAAAACAAGCATAATCATTGAAGGCGTCTTCTTGAAATACTGATCTTTCCCTTAAATAGGAAATTGCCTCCCCACCTTACATACCCCCCCCCCCCCCCCCCCCTTCGACCTAAAATTAATAGAAAAAATATCATAATGTGAATCCTTTTTTTAAAACTCCACGAATTTTTATTTGCAAGGTGGCTTATTCAAAAATGGCAAAAAAAGTTTAGGAGGAAAAAGCACTGATAATATTATTTTTTTTATAAGACTTAAATCAATTGTAATTCTCATTGTAATTTCTGTTTAGTATGTTCCCTCAACCTGATGGACTTTGGAAATTGTTTGGTAAAATCAGAAAAAAAAAACATACCCAAATTCAAATGCTATTTTTAAGCCTTAACATCGGATGTAAACTGTTTCAAAATTTAAGCATCCTTTTTTTTAATGTAAAGATTAAAGGGTAAATACAAACTCCAAAACAGTAATTATAAAATAATAGAGTTGTCTTACTTGGCCCAAACAATCTTTTACGAGTTTTAGTCTGGACAAAAATAATGCAATTGTCTACTTTAATATCTCAATTACTGGCTATACAGAATACAAAATTTTAAGTGGGATAAACTTCAATTTTAAACATGTGAAGAAACCTCCAGTAGAAGTTGTAGAACTAATTCTTTCTGTATGCTAGATGCTAAGCTTCCTCATAAAAAAGAAATTCACAACCAGGCAGATGATTTGCTGCAGAGACTCTTCTTTATATATGATGATGTTGAAAGTTAAAATGGTGAGATATATAGAGGAATTATTTAATGAGTGCAGGTTTAAATTACTACATTTATTAAACAAGTTGAATAAAATCATATCATGTGAGCTTCATGTAACACTAGTATAATATTGCTTTTATTAAATTGCTTTATTTCACTCCCGCGACGCAGTTAATGTGATTAATACGTTCATATTTTTACATACCATCATGTACACAGGCACCGTTGTACAGTGTATTGTCGGCTGCACACACACACACTTTATCTGCACTGCATGCCTGATTATCACCACTACAATCACCGTCTACAGTACACGTCCCTCCTAATAGTCCTGAATTATATCAATTAATATTAACCCTTTCACTGCCATTATAGGAACGGCATATGACGTCCCTATTATTTTCAGCATATTTGCCATATGGACGGCTTTTGCCATTTCTATAATAATAATAATAATTATAGTAATAATAATTATAATAATAAGAATAATAAATAAATAGATAATTATACCATCAATATTATTATTATACTAGCAGATTTGGAAACATATATAATTATTATACTACTAACTAGAACTATCACTAAATGTGATTAATACCCCTGCAAGACTGCTTCAAAAATGAGGAAGTTACAGGTCACAGAATACCTTGTTAAAGAATTAAAATAGACTTATGGTTTTGGGCAATTAAAGATAGTTGTGGTTTTTGTATGTTGCATTTCCTTACAATATGGTTGACCATTGATGAAGTTTTATTGAATTACTCTGTAATAAATCCAGAAAGAGTTACGCTTCTTGAGCACTGCACTTTCTCTCATTGCGCTTGATCATTGTATGAAGTTGCATTGAATTCTAAACATTAGTTTTAAGTTATGCACCGGACAAGGTAAAGGAACAAAGGACAATAACTCTATAAATACTGAAGATGGAGTTATGGTTATTGTACAATGCACTTCCTCATATTTCCCTTGACCATTGTATGAAGTTGTATTGAATTCCAACTACTAGTTTTCAAGTTATGCACTGGACAAAAAAAGTAACAAAAGGGCAATAACTGTAATGAGTCAAAATTGAGTTATGCTTCTTCTGCACTGCACTTCATCTCACTGCCCTTAAATGAGTCAAGAAAGAGTTATGGTTTCTGTGCACTGCCCTTCCTCTCAATATACTTGACCATTGTTTGAAATTGTATTGAATTCCAAATAATACTTTTCAAGTTATGCTCTGGTCAAGAAAAAAAGCAATGGAAAAGTAACAAAGGGCAGTAACTCAATAATTACTCTAGACAGAGTTATGGTTTTTGTGCACTGCACTTCCTCTTAATGTGCTTGATCATTGTATTAAGTTGTATTCAAATTCAAACCATTAGTCTTCCAGTTAAGCTCCGGACAAAAATAAGCAATGAAAAAGTAACAAAGGGCAATAACTCTGTAATTACTTTAGATAGAGTTATGATTCTTGTGCACGGCACTTCCACTTATTGTGCTTGACCATTGTATGAAGTTGTTTTGAATTCCAACCAGTAGTTTTCAAGTTATGCTCCGGACAAGGAAAGGTAACAAAGGGCAATAACTCTGTATTTAGTGACGATAGAGTTATGGTTCTTGTGCACTGTTTTTCCTCTCAATGTGCTTGACCAATTTATTTGTATGAAGTTGTATTGAATTCAAACCATTAGTTTTCAAGTTATGCTCCAGACAAGGAAAATGCAACGGACGTCTAGACCGACCGACTGGCCGACCACCAGGTGACTCCTGTGACTACTATATACCCAAATAATAATAATTATATTAATTAATAATATAGTAATTTCTAAGAAAACCTTCTGGCAAATAGATGATCAACAAATAAATAACCCTCTGGCAGCGAAAGGGTTAATTCAATAAACATTGGTAGAGGGAAAGGGTTTGGGGACGGGTCACATTCAGGGTTCATTCAAACCGTGCTAGAACCAAAGTTCCACGACTATTCAATAATATTTAAATCAATTTTACATTATACCAGTAGAATTTGTGGAGCTGGTAAGCTTCAATATTTATAGAGATTAAGACTTTCTTTCGTCTTCATGTGTAGTACAAATAATAGCAACAAATTTGCTACTACTAGAAATGGGCTTATCTTAGGCTAAATTCATAACATGGACAGTACATTTTATTCTAATGTTTTGTGCTCTAACAACAAAAACTGGTTCAAGCCAGGCACACGTATTTGTAGCTTTACTGTGAAGAAAAATGTTTGTCAACTTCTCAGTACGTCATGTATATATGTCTTGACAAAAGATAATAAAGAAAAATTCCAAACATGTCATATAACAACGAAAAAAATACTAACCATCAGATATTTTGCATGTACCAGAATCTGCTGTATACCCAGTTCCACAGGCACACACATCAGATGTACAAACTGCATTAGTTACTTTGCTGCAGTCAGCATCAATTGAACAAGCAGCCTCCAACTTTCCTGTAAGAATATTATCAAAATGTAAATACTGTGTTTATTTAGAATTCCAAAACACGTTATTATTATAAAGTTAAATATATTTGCAGTAGTTTTATTTTACTTTTTTTACTAAATACTAGGCCGTACCTTTAGATATTCTTATTTCCCCTCTTGTGACTCAATTGCTACAAGTACATCTATCTCAAATAATCTTTTTGAACAAATTATTTACATCTGATAATTTTTAAAACAAATGTGAATCAATGCTTAATCATAATATTTTCGAGTTTGTTGAGCATACAAAACTTTAATACTACAAAAAATATCCCAGTTTATTATTTACAATACAACAGTACAAGGCACTAATTCTTTAGACTAACAAAATGGAGTTTTTAGGTTTTCTGTCATGTTGTCTTATGTCAAACATGCCTTTTGTTTTCAAAAACTCTTATTCAAACTTTGACTCAACATCATCCAGGCTATGTTGACAATTTAGTTTGTTTCCAGAATTTTGTACTTCACAACAGCAGGCGTCAAGTGCCGTGTGGCAGCCGTAAAAAGTTGCCCCGTACTTCACTTCAGTGTTGTTATATTTTCTGGTCCTTCGGGATCATTGATGCCAACACTATAAAGTGTTGAGAATTGAGTACCGCTCAAGCCGGTGCTAGGGGGCGTGAGGGATGTTGCACTTATTCATTATCCCTCATGTACAGACTCAATCAAACCGAGTCTGCAATTCTTATGTTATTTTGTTGTGATTAATGCTTCCGAGGGATCACTTTGTTTCCAGAAGTTAGTATAATAATTTGTGTGACCAATAAATTTATGTATGGTTCATAAATCAATATTTAAATTGAATTTATCATTTGATTTATATACACAGTAGACATTAAGATTAGGGCATGTGTACAACTTGACATAATCAGGTTCAATAATGAAATTTATCAAAATTAATTTATATCAATATCATATTATACCGTATAAGTATTTATTTCTGCGTGCTTAGTATTCTGCGATTTTTGTTAAAATAAGGGGTTTTAAATTTCTTTGTATCTTATTTCTGCGGTGTCATCATTCTCGCATTGATGCTTGTTATTTCTGCGTTTTGATTATGATATTTTTACAAAATTAACCTACACAAACAGACATTTCAAGATTTATTGATGTAACATGTACATGACTTCCGGTTAACATGCAGAGGACTGATCGTCATCATCATGTATCGGCATATACATGTTAATAAACGTGGAATGACAACAATTTTAATACTGTGTATAAATATGAAGTGTGAATAATAAACAATGGCAAAATCACACGTAGACACAAGATATTGTACAAATACAAAAGGGTATGTTTATTGCACCCCACAAACTACAATAGTTTGATTTTACAAAGAAATCAAGCTAAGGGTGAGCGAAAATCATACAAACATAACATTCTTTTAAACAAAGTAACATTTTTTTTCTAATATTTCATTCACGACAGATACATAAAGAAAAATTCCCATCTACAAAAGCTGATAACGGTACATGTTAATGTAATTATACAATACCGGTAGTTGATATATTCCGACATATACATAAGAAAAGGCCTAATTTTCTGCGGTTTTTAAATCTGCGGTGTCGTTATGAACCACATAAATAGCAGAAATAAAGTTCCCGCAGAAAATAGTACTTATACGGTAGTGTATAATCATATTGTCAATTATTTGTAAATATAGCAAAATAGTTAAAGGTATATACAACATTAACAAGAATAGAAGAACTTTTGTTAAGGATAAGCACAAATAAGTCAAATCAGAGTCTGAAAGGACAAATGGACCCTCATTAAGCATAGAATACGCAGTCATTTTTTTAATCTGCCCAAAAATTAGCCAAATCAGCCTCAAATTAAGTCAAACCAGCGCAATACATATTTATAAAGTCACATATCAAATATGAAAATCAATGTGAATCAATTCAGGATCAGTAACAGCATTGTCATAAATCAGTTCTTAATACATGTTTAAGACTAAACATACCTGTTTCTTTACATGTTCCTGATGTATCTGTAAAACCTCTCTTACAAACACAAATCCCATAATGGAGATTGTTACATTGTTGATTAGAATCACTTGTACAATCACCATCAGCAGAACAGCTTCCTCCTAGTGCATCTGAAATATATTTGTATGAATAGAATATGTATTTCACTAAAATCATTTAGGTTTGAAATGAGTTACAATTGTTACATACATAAAATTACAAGTCGCGGGCTTAGCGCAAAACGGTTGTAACTCAATTTAAGCAAATTTTACAGGAGCATGAAAAAACTTTTTAAAACTTTTGTTAATGAATAAAAATGTTTTATTTTAGGAAAATATATACATTTTAGTTAAGGAATTAGAAACAAAATAAGAAAAAAGAAGCAAATTATTTTTGAAAAAAGATATTTGAATAAGTTCAAGTTACAACCGTTTTGCAAATAAAATTTTGATAATTTGTTACATATTTTTTTGTGCAAAAGGGTAGTATCTCAAGTTACAACTGTTTTCCGTACAAATTTTGAGCAAATTTAATTATTTTCTTTGTGCAAAACGGAAGTATCTCAAACTCGCATCTTTTTTATAGGATGTAATAATTGGATAAAATAAAACATTACTCCTAAATCACATAAAATACATGTAGCCATTATAAAATAAGATTATAATATGTGCAAGTCATGTTTTGAATGATAAAAAATAAAATGAAAGTAAGAATAATCAGGAAAAGTTTGAAGAGAATGAATGTCCTCAATAGAGAATAATATAGCCTATACCACTTTATTTAAAAATATATTAAGGGATAAGCTAAAATTATTTTTTATGGTAATTATAAATTTATATGCTATTCTATAGAATGGTATAAATGCTATTTAGGCACATGTACATGTATTTCAAAATAAAGTAAGGTTAGCCACCCTTTCAGCTGCTGGGGGCATTTAATCCTTAATACCCCAATTGATAATTATAAAATTAGGATTTCAGTTTTAGCGAAATAATTCAAATCTTTTAGATTTTAAAATATTTTAAAGGATAAATTATGCTGGCTCTGATCTTTACTGGTTGCATGATATAGAATGTGTGACACCATTTGCAGGTTAAGAGTTTAAGCTGTAACATTTGATAAATATATGTTTGGAAATATGACAGAGACACCATAACAACTGTGAATACAAGGTCCTCCTCACTGACATCCCTGCAGAGCCCTGGGAGACGTCCGTGGTGATTCTGGGCTTTACCGGGAACAACCGGGGTACATCCGTTACACTGCCGACAACATTTGGGATGATCTGGGAACATCCGGCATTTGACCCTGGATGGAATAAAATATTTTATATCACCAGGGTGGTCCTGGATGATCCGGGAAGTAAAGCTCTGCAGGCTTCATCCTTAGCTCTGCCGGGAATAACCAGGGTTACACAGGGGAAGCACCAAGTTACACAGGGGAAGCACCGTAGCTCTTCCGGCACAAACTGGGGATGATCTGGGGTATGATATAGCCAGTAGAGCTACGGTACAGCCCCGGTGAATGCTGGCAGAGTACTGGTAAATGTCGGCAGAGCCCCGGACGATGATGATGGAGCTACAGTCGATCCAGGTAGAGCCCCGGCAAAGCCTAGTTCATTTCAAAAGAATCACAACAATTTGCTATGATTGCACTTGTTTGTTTTAAAACCCTTCCAATTTCCCTTCTTTCCAGTATGGCATAAGGATTTTTCAGAAATAATCATCATGAATTACTGTTCTGGAACAATAGATATTATATTAAATAAAAATTATGTATCAATGTTATTCTTTTCGTGCGTTTATTTTTTCAATCTACAAGGGGTCTGCCTTGATCGACCGGGGAAGCACCTGTATTAACCGTAGCTTCACCTGGGCTCTGCCTGGATGGTCCGGAGCACATCCTGGTTGGTTAGTTGGGAATACCATGCATAGTGCTGCCGGGGTTAGTGTGACTGCAACAATTTCACCCCGGATTATCTCATCCTTGTAACTTACCGGTTGGTCCTGGGCTCTTGGAGGGAGTAAGTGAAGACCACCGCTTAAAATTGATGGGTGCTGATAAATCCAATTTCTAACTTGTTATAACCTTTCAATTTCAGTTATAATATCAATAAATGTTCCTTTATCATTCTAGAAGTTCATAAAATCTTAGAATACCTTTAAATTACATCAGCCCACTGACCAGTTCTCATTAAATTTGCAGAAGTTGTACATTCTATATCCCCCAAAAAATTTCTTTTACTTCTGGGCATATTTTGGTTGGTAATATTGTCCAACAATATTGTCCTTGATCTTCATTAACTTTCATAAAGGTCATTGAATAAACACTTGTATCAAACAAATATATTGATAATTATTTGTTACCTTCACATGTCAGTAAGGTGAGGTATATTTGTATAGATTCCGGGCTACTGATCTGAAGGACTCTCTGGTTTGATTCCTTACCAACAATGCGTTATTAAGTCACACTTTTTGTGTTTTTGGTTTTTTTTTATTATAGCAAGAATTGCATTAATTTGAAATGGTTTTAATGTATCTACTTTTAGGAGAACTTTTAAGTAGTGTGGTGTTTCCTTTTGTTTTATCAAGATGACTTGTTTTCTTAAGTACTCTGACATACGGACGTTGGACAATCTTAAGTTTTTCTCTAGAACGCATATTTTTCAATGGTTTCTTGGTGACATTATGCAACATATATGGTTTAGCGCATACACACTACAGATGTAGTTAATATAAAAGTACACAGATAGAATACACAAAAAAAATGATTTGCACGAGTAAATTTACAGAAGGAGAGAAGGGCAATTTTAAAATTAAAAGAAATAAAGTGGCTGAACCAGGATTTGAACCTACGACTTTATAATGTCTATAATATCTTGAAAGCAATGTATTAATTACTGCTTGCGCTAAGAGGGATTCTTAATTAAGACCATTTAACAACTGGTTTATATTATTAGTTATAAAGATTGTTGTCAGGTTATATTGCCCTATATAAACCGCTATTTTGTAGGCGGGGTTATATTGCAAACAGGCCGTTTGTATACCGCCATATTACTGTTCAACAATCTTTATAACGAATTTATAATACAGCAAGCATTATTTTTTAGAGAAAAAGTGAGATGTTTTTATGAATCGACAGCTGGCGAGCCGTGTATATAAAAACTATATAAACGTCACGATTATCCAATGAAAAGTGACGTTACAAACATGCAGTATTATAAACATTCATGAAAGATTTTTAAAGTAGATCAAAAGTTTACCGAATTTACTGGCTAGCGGGTCAAATGAAGAGTGCATGGTCAATATTGTTGGAAAAAAAACATACCCCTGTCTGTCTGTTAGTGAACAATTTGTTTATAAAATAAACTGCTGAATGTCTGTAATGGATTTGCCCTGCTTTGTATTTTGAAAAGTCAATCAAATCAATCAATCAATATACAGTAACTAAAATTGAGCTGTCTACAGTACAGAACCTGACTGAGTGCACAGGTGATCAGGCTGGCCTGGATCTTATACTTGTGGCAAGAACTTATCATTTTCTGTTCCAACATGTCAGGGTTACAGACTTCATAGATTTGTCATAACAAACAATTACGGAATTAAACTGGATGTTTATAATATTTAAACATGGTCCTCTTCAAATTTGGTCTTACCCAGAATTTGTGATATAGAGTTTAATATGGACTTCTTTTAGGTAAATTCTACATTGTATGTGGATAGAAGGGACGTCCGTGGCCAAGTGGTTAAGGTCGTTGACTTCAAACCACTTGCCCCTCACCTCTGTGGGTTCAATCCCGACAGGGACTTTGGATTCTTTCATGTGAGGAAGCTATCCAGCTAGCTTACGGAACCTCGGTGGTTCTACTCAGGTACCCGTTCGTGCCTGAAATAATGCACGGAAGGGCACCTGAGGTCTTCCTCCACCAGTAAAGCTGGAACGTCGCGATATAACCTATACTGTGTCGATGTGACGTTAAACCCAAAACAAAAACAAACAAAAAACAAAAAAATGTGGATAGACGCTTTAAAAAGACTTCATATTATAAACTCTTAAGCTATGTTTTTGCTATTTCCATGTTTCAAGGCAGTGTCATTCTATTGTTCCTTTTTAAGTATGTCATTTGCTTCAATGGTTTGTTTGGGGATTTTAACAATGGTCTTGGTTCCTGCCACTTTGTCCATTCCCTTCTCAGTTTTTCCTCATTGTATTTTAAAGTGTGTCTTTAGTCTGTATAGTTGGAGATTACACCCCCACCTCCCTCCCTTCAATTTGGTCCCTTATCCCCTTCCGTTCTTTTATCTTTAATTATACCTTTATGATATACTATAGTAGTTTTCTCAGCCATTCACAATAATAAATTAATATATGGTTTTCAGAATGTAAAGATGCTACACTGTTAACACGAAGAAAAATTGTGATCAAGTAATATAATTTGTCATAAAAGTAGCAAAATGTAATCAAAGCACTGGGCAGTATTTTGACTTTCCGCAAAGAATACTAATTCACTGTAACTGTTCGTTGCTTTCAAAAATTGCAAAAGATGAAAAAGTTGTTAAGGTAATTTGCCATTGAGTAACTTTCTTGATAAGAACACTAAAATTTAGATAGCTTTTGAGAAATAAAATAAAAGCATTTTTGAAGCTTATGGTCTGAGCTAGGTGGCCTTGACATATACCTTCCATGAACAGACTTTGTGCCCTGCAACAATTTAAGTTTTGCTACTATGAGTATAAGCATGGCTGAAGATATTCTGAATTTAAATTACATGTACTTGCATTATTTTCAAATATGGAAAACGTTTGTTGCACTGTAAAAATAAGTGTTGGCGCCTAATTTTCGACCGCATAAGGGCTAAATACTGTCCACCTTGTTATTATTATAAACTGTTTGTGTTTTTGAGGAAGGGGGGGGGGGGGTGAATATGGACATTGTGGTCCTTTAATATATATTTGAAAGTTTTTCATTTACTTAATTATCAAACAATTTTGCTGATTGGTGGGCAGTGGATTATTTTCATTTATTGGAATTAATTTATGAGATTAAACTATAGTGTATATAGCATTTAGAATTCATGAAGATAATATAAAATCAACAATTTGTTGGATTTTTTACAATAATTTTAGGTTTTATTTAGATATATTAAAAACAAAAAAATCTTTTGCTAACTGTCTTTAAATCCTCCTTTTTTCATGTGATGATTCAAATAAGACAAACAGAATGTAATTACTTCATTGCACTATAGAATTTTCAGCGGCAAAAGGGTTGTACTTGAAGATACACCTTTTTGCGCTAAAATTAAGAGCAATTTGCGATACAACTTTTGACGAATATTGATCTTAACTTGTTAATTTCAGAATCCATTTAAAATACTTACTGAGGATATGCATAACCACAAAACACTTTGAAATTGTTAAAAATGTTATTTTGTGGAAAAAAGTGAGTTACAACCGTTTTGCGCTAAGCCCACGAAGTATTTATCGAATTATATATTGGTGTATCACTGATATTTATCATCGGATTGATGTATTGTAAATAAACATTGCACTGACTCAATGATAGCCCTAAAATATAGCTGACATAACAATCTCTCATCATCTGTTTAGTTTTTAATGCTTATTTCAAATATCCTAATTTTTTTATAACATAATACTCCAAAATACCAATTGTTTATTTATATTTTCAAACGACATTTGCATGGCTAGAAATTTAAAGTTAATTGATAAAAAAAATGACCTTTTTGATGATCATTAAAGAAGCTTAAAATATTTTTAGGCAATTTATTTTTCCGATAGCACATAATTTATGCTGTCAAGTTTACTAATCAGACCAAACAAGAGATGACTCTTTGGCAGCAGACATGCAATTCAATGTTTAGAGTGTCCCTAACAATAGGTAGATTGCAACAGTACATTATACATACATCGTAACAGTAAGAACTCTCCCACTTTTAGCGGGAGACTCCCACTTTCTGCAGCCATATTTTCAAAGATTTTTCTTTAAATAAGGGTTATTTTCACAAATAAAAGAAATCTCCCTATTTTTGATGTCAGAACTTCCTTCTTTGTTTATTGCAAATTCTAAAATCTCCCTCTTTCCGAAGAAAACTCTCCCACTTGATCATCAAAAAAAGTTCACATGTATGACTTTATAAGCAGATGTAGTTTAGACTCTAAATTTCAAACATTTATTAAAAATTCCATGGTTTCGAAGATTTTACTGTGCATGTACCCCCCTGCCTTCAATTATTATGTGTGCAGAATTTATACATACAATTGGCATGCTTAGAACTGACATAAATGGAAAAATACCTTATATTGGGAGATCACAAAAATAACAATTAAATTAAGAGAAAAAAAATTGGAAAAATTAATGTTTAAATCATTTTGGGAAAACTAGTTTTTTAGCAACAGAAAATGGGTTCGCATACCACACCTCTCTAGAAAATTACACCATGGTCCCAACTAAATTCTTACAGAAACGCAATAATAAACATACTTGCAGCAACACATTCTCCATTGTATGCTGTGAAAGTATCTTCACATTCACACACTGCATCAGCAGGTACACATGTTTTTACATTAGTTCCTTTACAGGGTATTGTATCTGAACAGAGTCCTCCTAGTGTTCCCTGTAATTTGTTGTAAAAAATAAAATTTAAAAGCATCGGTTTTTCCTTGTAACTTAATCAAAGCATGAACATTTATATAAACAATAAAATCATGATAAAATGGACTAAATGTAGGTATACTATAAATCAAAAAACAGAAGTACAGTCAGTGCATTTGTCAGGGTTCAAACTGAAATCCTTCAAGCATTTTCAATTGTTTCAAGGCGCAATTTTGCATTTTTAAAGAGAAATACCCAGTAAAAATTTCTGGCAAACAATCAAGTTTTAAACAAATACAGGTTTAAACTTTGTTCGCTCAAACTCGGATCGCTCAATTACCTCCCTTCGCTCGAACTCATCGGCTAGTCCTGGCAAAAATTCCTATACAATATATATTGTTCTACCTCGGATCGCTTCGATTACCGATGGCTCAAACTCTCAAACCTGATCTCTGGTCCCTTCAGCAGAAATATAGTGAAAATTACAACACCTTTTTGGTGGATATACAAAAGACAACAAAAGGCCCTGATACATATATATATCTGAAACATACTGCTAATAACATTATGCACTTTTCATGGTTATGATGCTTCCTATTAAACTTGATGAATTCCAGCCAATAATTGCTGAGAAAATAGTCTGGACAAAAAGCATTAGGGAGAATAGTTTTCTGTAAAGAAAATCATTGAAACAGAAATATGTTGCTAAGATGCCTACTTTCTCTAAGTAGAAGCTGTCTCTAGATAGGATGAAGTCTAGTAAGTAATTGCTGAGAAAAAGACAAGACAATATAAAGACAAATGAAAACTTTATGAGGCATAAAAACAAACAAGAGGGCCATGATGGCCCTAAAGTGCTCACCTGTATATAGGGCCCCGGAGCAGGGCCACTTTAAACCCCAGGGCTTTTATTTGAAACTTGGAAGAAGACACCCATTAGAAGATGTTTCATGCTAAACATCTACGGTCTAGCTATTTGGGTTTTTTAAAAGAAGATTTTGACCCCAGGGCTTTTATTTGAACAAACTTGGTAGAGAACCATTAGAACATGTTTCATGCTTAGTATCTAACCTCTAGCTATCTGTTGTTTTTTTTTCAAAAAAGATCTTTTAAGTTTTTGTTATAAACATTTAAGGAAAATGAATGACCCCCCGGGCAGGGCCAATTTTGACCCCAGGGCTCTTATTTGAACGAACTTGGTAGACATCCATTAGAACATGTTTCATGCTAAATATCTTACCTCTAGCTCTTTGCATTCTTTAAAAGAATTTTTTTAAGTTTTTACTATATGCATATAGGGAAAAGCAATGACCCCCTGGGGCGGGGCCAATTTTGACCCCAGGGCTTTTATTTGAACAAACTTGGTAGACACTCACTAGAAGATGTTTCATGCTTAATATCTAAACTCTAGCTATTTGGGATTTTTTCAAAGAAGATTTTTTAAGTTTTTGCTATACACATATAGGGAAAATCAATGACCCCCTGGGGCGGAGCCAATTTTGACCCCAGGGCTTTTATTTGAACAAACTTGGAAGACACTCATTAGAAGATGTTTCATGCTAAATATCTTAGCTCTAGCTCTTTGGGTTCTTTAAAAGAAGATTTTAAAGTTTTTACTATATGCATACAGGGAAAATCAAAGACCCCCTGGGGCGGGGCCAATTTTGACCCCAGGGCTTTTATTTGAACAAACTTTGTAGACACTCACTAGAAGATGTTTCATGCTATATATCTTAACTCTAGCTATTTGGGTTTTTTTCAAAGAAGATTTTTTAAGTTTTTGCTATACACATATAAGGAAAATCAATGAACCCCGGGGCGGGGCAAATTTTGACCCCAGGGCTTTTATTTCAACAAACTTGGTAGACACCCATAAGAACATGTTTCATGCTAAATATCTAACCTGTAGCCTTTCCAAATTCAGAGAAGTAGACTTTTTTAGGTTTTACAATATACATATAAGGAAAAACCTATGACCCCCCAGGGCGGGGCCGATTTTAATTCTAGGAACAAAATTTAAACAACTTTGGCTTTGGACCTACAGATGATACCATAGACCAAATATCAAAGCTATAGGCCATTTACTTTCAGACCAGAATATTTTTCAAGTTTTCACTATATGTATATATGAAAATCAATGATCCCGAGGGCGGGGCCAATTTTGACCCGAGGGCCATTATTTGAACAATCTTGGTAGAGATCTACCACACAATTTTTCATGCCAAATATCTTACCTGTAGCCTTTGCCAATTCAGAGAAGAAGATTTTTTTTAGATTTTACTATATACATAATTACATAATTATAAGGAAAAACCTATGACCCCCGGGGCGGGGCCAATTTTAACACTAGGGACAAAATTTGAACAACTTTGGTAGAGGACCCATAGATGATACAATATACCAAAAATCAAAGCTCTGGCCCATGTACTTTCAGATAAGAAGATTTTTTAATTTTGTGTTTTTTGAAATCCTTTTCTGGCCCTATGACCTACATATGCAACAGACCGGAACCATTTGAACAACTTTGAAAGGGGACCACCCAAGGATCATTTCTGTAAAGTTTGGTTGATGTGCAGTCATTGGTTTCAGAGAAGATGTTGTTTATGTTAAAAGTTGACGACGCATGACGACGCACGACGGACACAGGGCCATCACAATAGCTCACCCTGAGCATTGCTCAGGTGAGCTAAAAAATACTGACCATTAGTTATTTTGCATGCACCAGAATCTGCGGTGTACCTAGTTCCACAGGAACAGACATTAGCTGTACAAACTGCATTAGTTACTTTGCTGCAGTCGGCATCAGTTGAACAAGCAGCCTCCAACTTTCCTGTTAGAATATTATCAAAATGTAAATACTGTGTTTATTTAGAATTCCAAAGCACATTATTATTATAAAGTTAAATATATTTTCAGTTTTATTTTACTTTTTTTAACTAAATACTAGGCCGTACCTTTAGATATTCTAATTTCCCCTACATCTATCTCAAATAATCTTATTGAACAAATTATTTATATCTGATTATAGTGATAGATATGAATTTTAAAAAAAAAACATGTGAATCAATGCTTAATGATAATATTGTAGAGTTTGTTGAGCATACAGAACTTTAAATTTAATACTACAAATAATATCCCAGTTTATTATTTACAGTACAACGTACAGTACCAGACATCAACCCTGTACACAAATAAAATGGAGTTTCTAGATTTTCTGTCATGTTGTAAAAAATTGTCAAACATGCCTTGCGTTTTCAAAAACTTTTTTTTCAAAACTTTGATTCAACGTCATCCAGGCTATGTTGACACTCAAGTATATCAATTTGTGTGACCAATAAATTTATGTATGGTTCATAAATCAATATTAAAACTGAATTTATCATATGATTAATATACAATAGACATTAAGGTTAGGGCATGTGTACAACTTGACATAATCAGGTTCAATAATGAAATTTATCAAAATTAATTTATATCAATATCATATAGTGTATATTCATATTATTTGTAAATATAGCAAAATAGTTAAAGGTATATAATCAATAAAACAACATTAACAAGTAGAAATTCTGTTAAGGATAAGCACAAATAGGCCAAATCAGAGTCTGAAAGGACAAATAGACCCTCATTAAGCATAGAATACACAGTCAAATCTGCCCAAAAATAGCCAAATCAGCCTCAAATTAACTCAAACCAGCCCAATACATTTTTATAAAGGCACATATCGAAATCGAAAATCAATGTGAATCAATTCAGGATCAGTAACAACAATGACATAAATCAGTTCTTAATACATGTATAAGGCTAAACATACCTGTTTCTTTACATGTTCCTGAAGTATCTGTAAAACCACTCTTACAAGCACAAATCCCATTTGTACATGCTTGATTAGAATCTCTTGTACAATCACCATCAACAGAACAGGTTGCTGCTAGTGCATCTGAAATGTTCAAATAGGCCTTGTGCTAACTTTGGCTAGTAAGTATTATCACCTATCCACTGTTAACTCAAGCTGTTGGTTTTTTGTTGTTTTTTTCCGCCATAGGCTGTCAAATTTCAGATTTACTTTCTATGAAATACAAAGGAATTCACTGAAAAAAATAATACAAAATTTCAGTGGTAATTCAATGGTTCAATATTTTACTTTGCGCACATCAATTTTTATGCATGCATTTTTAAACAAGAGTCATGTCAACATGGCCATCCCCCGCCCAATGTGTTTGCTCATTGGAAGAATTTATATGTAGTAGAGCAGAATTATTCAATTTTAAGAGGTCTTTTGGTAATGAAAACTGATGGCTGAAGTGATAACAGATTTGAAACCTATGTGAATACTGATAGCTGAAAATAAAAAGGGCAATAACTGAAAAATAATGCAGGGTAGGTTATCATTCTTGTGTGCTGCACCCTCCTCAGTAAAATCTATCCACCTATGAAGTTTCAAGTTGATACCTCAAACACTTTTTGAGATAAGCTCCCAACAAAATAGTATGAAAAAGAACAAAGGGCAATTACTCAAAAATTATATAGGGAAGAGTAATCAATCTTGTGCACAGCATTTCTCCTCAATAAGATCTATCCACCAATGACATTTCATGTTGACATCTTAAACACTTTTTGAGTTATGCACTCGGGTGAAAAATTAAATATGAAAAATAACAAAGGGCAATAACTCAAAAATTATGAAAGGTAGAGTTATCATTCTTGTGCACTGCACACCTCCTGAGTGAGATCTATGGACCTATGAAGTTTCATGTTGATATCTCAAAGGCTTTTTGAGTTATGCTCTGGACAAAAAATAATTTTGAAGAATAATAAAGGGCAATAGCTCAAAAAATATGCAGGGTATACTTATCCTTCTTATGCACTGAACTCCTCCTCAATGAGATCCATATACCTATGAAGTTTCAAGTTGATACCTCAAATACTTTTTGAGATATGCTCCCAACAAAATTGTATGAAAACGAACAAAGGGCAATAACTCAAAAATTATAGAGGGAAGAGTTATCATTCTTGCACACAGCATTCCTCCTCAATAAGATCTATCCACCTATGACATTTCATGTTGACATCTCAAACACTTTTCCACTTATGCTCCACTCGGGTGAAAAATTAAGTACATATAAAAAATAACAAAGGGCAATAACTCAAAAATTATGAAAGGTAAAGTTATCATACTTGTGCTCTGCACACCTCCTGAGTGAGATCTATGGACCTATAAGGTTTCATGTTGATATCTAAAAGGTTTTTGAGTTATGCTCTGGACAAAAATTTATTTTGAAAAAAAAAACAAAGGGCAATAACTCAAAAATTATGCAGGGAAGAGTTATCATTCTTGTGCACTGCACTCCTCCTCATTGAGATCTATCCACTTATGAAGTTTTAAGTTGATACCTCAAATACTTTTTGAGATATGCTCCGGACAAACATGTCGGACTGAAGGACGACGGACAGAAGGACGGACGGAGACTATTTCTATATCCCCCGCCGCCTTTTGGTGGAGGATAATTACACAAGGGTCAGTGTGTAGTGTGTGAATGGGCATGCTGGCAACTGACTTTTTTTTTTTAATGGAAAAATACCTTATGTTAAGAGAGCAGCAAAACGGCAGTTAAATAAAGAAAAAACATATTTTTTTTAAATGTTTTAATCATTTTTTGGGAAAATTAGTTTTTTAGCAATTTAAAATGGGTCCGCATACCACAGGCACACCTCTCTAGAAAAATACACTAAACTATTTGGTCGCAGCAAAAATTCCATCCTTCACTACAATCTACACATTAAGGTTGTTCATCCCTGGAAGTTAAAGCAAAATCTGCCATCCGGTTTAAGAGAGTTTTGGTTAACAAGATTTCGGGACGTACGGACAGACGGACGGACGGACAAGTGCAATGCTATATGCTCCCACTTTGTGGGGGCATAAAAATCTGTATGTATAATATGTGTTCAGATAAACATGCATGACTTATAAAAATTATAGAAATTTGGATTTAGTGGAGTAACATAAGTTTTCGCTGTTTTTTTATTTCAAGTTCAACTACTCAAATTATCAATAACATTTTAACTTTTCCAATCAAGCAGTCTGGTTATATTTTTTTCCCAATCGAGCAGACTGGTTATAATTTTAATCTAACTTGTTCAGGGCTTCCGGCAAGTGGGTTATTTCAAAGACTGAATAGGGGTAATTTACTTGCCAAGACCAAAGTTTGAGGGTTAAGGGCTCATAGGATGTCAATTATTGGTTGGAAACCATTTAGATATGGTCAGTGTGACCTTGACCTTTGACCTAGTGACCCTGAAAATATAGGGCTTCATCTACTTGTCTTGACAATAATCACCCTAACAAATTTGAAGTTCATAGGACAGATACTGGTATATGAATCAATAGCCATCCTTGCCTTTCAGCAAAAAAAAATAGATAAGTAAGTATATGTAATAACTTTATTTACTGAGGCTAGTTAACACATTTGGTTTCCCGGCAATCTTCCATGTGGGCCTCAGCAAAACAGCAATTTTGCATAGAATTTTATTATCTTAACTGCTCATTTTAAACAAGCTTCATATTCTTTTTGCATTAGAGCTGCTAGCATCCCCAGATTCAAATTGGTGAAGGAAATGACAAACTTACCATCAGCTACACAAACACCATTTTGTTCTGAATAACCTGCTGTACAAGTACAAAGACTAGTCGAGGATGAGCACTCCACATTAGATCCAGTACATGTGATAGTGTCTGAACATATTTCACCAGCGACTGAAAATAAATGAGGTTAACATAAAAGACTTATTTGAATAAGATAAAGCAAGAATAAATCAAGTTTTTTGTTATCAGCTTCTTCTAAATAATAAAATGTCAATATTTTTGAAATGATGTCCAAAAATTTATAATGTATATATTATATTTGTTTGTTTGTTTGTTTCATTTTACGCCTTTTCCCAACAATAATTAAGTCATATAGGCGGGTAGTTTCCTAACCATCGTTCCTGGAATTTAGTAACACCAGTACTAGACTACCTTCCTCGGCGCTAAACTACCAAAAGCATCTCTCGGGGATCAAACCCAGACCTGAGAGGTAATTTGATTAGAAGTCATCGGCTCTAATCCCGACCACAGAGGCTGTTGTATATATTATACAGAGATCTGCCAAGAATTTGAAAGTACTAGGCCCTGGGCTCACTTGGTCTGAAAATGATAGGCCATTTTTACCAAAGTATGGGCCTTTGGAAAATAAGTAAACATTGACCTAAATAACTGTTAAAAAGTTTGTAGATAATTGAATTTCCCTGGTAATAAAACTTAAAACATATTTTATGACAAGTGGTTATGATTCAGTACTTAACCAATAATTAAAAATTATGCCTACATGGTAACTTTCTAACTAATATTAATTGCAGACAAAATATTTTTTAAATGGCTGCTCAAAAATTTGATATGCAAATTATTCACATAATTGCTGGGTCTTACTTCTAATGTCTAATACTGTGCATTATTCATTGAATTGTTCCTACTTTGCACTAAATGTCCCTTACCACTGTATATTGACGCATTTTATTGCCCCTTGTATGCCTCTGTGTAGACAGCATACATCAAAGACACTTGCCGACAGACCTTTTGATCATGAAAAAAGTCATGCACAATGTTTCCCTGATTGGTTAATCACCCTGTCAAATATTCTGCTGACGAAATAGACATATATTTTTATACACTTCATCAGTGAACTTGATCGAGTGATCTTAGGGGTGATCAAGTTGTAAACCTGTCAGATTATACTGTAACTTACAGCATTTCTTAAAACAGCAACACTTTTTTCAGTTACCGATAATCATTTT